TGCATGACTCACAGGCATAGCAAAATGTCTTCCTCTCAGCTGCTTCTTAAATATGTACAAGGATTTACTGTTGCTTACATTTTAGCCGCATGTTAAAGGGGTACAAAAAGGCCATGGGATACTGAAGCATTGTTTGAGGCCCAGCTCTAGGCTATCTCTCAGGATTCCTGCTTCTACAGAGCCACCCTATGGGGGTTCCTCCTCAGCCCCTAAATGGGAAGCAGGCCTGAATCCCTCTGCCTTTGACTTTTCTGTCTACTCGTCCAACATGTCTTCCCTGGAGACTGGGCTCTAAATGTGTAGACCAGAACATGCGAGCCCAGCTGCTTGTCCAATACCCTTTCCTTCCTGTCCTCCCCATCCCCTTCTCCCCTTTCTCCTTTCCTCACCTCACTCCTGAACAGGCTCTAACATTGTGGACTTGCTCTTCCTATCTCTCTTTTGGACAGAGAATTTCCACTCATATCCCTTCACCTTCTCATACAGCTGAAAAGCATTTTAGTCTCTAAAGTATTCAGAGCATATGGGCCACATCTGACAATTTCACCTTCATATGACTCAGCAGAAGAGGCAACATCATCCCCAATTTTGCAGGTGAGGAAGCCAAGACTTAGGGAGGCTTAATAAAGTACAGAGGGTGATAGAGTTAGTTAGCAACAGTGCAAAACCCTGCTTCAAGGGCAGAAAGGTGTATGCCTTATAATATTAAAACGAAGCTTTTGCTTTCATCTCCCTCTGGTCCTTGGTAACTCTGATTCCTCCAAAAAATAAGAGGCCTGAGAAAGGACAGGGATGTGTAGGTGGGCTGCCTAAATGGACCTACTGTTGGACAAGTAGAGCAAAAGATAAGCAGGCAAGAGTGGGGATAAGAGCGACCTCTAAATCTTTCTTTCTAGCAAAGAGAGAGAAATAAGAAAGAACGGAGGAGGGAGAAGGATGGAAGGAAAATGAGAGAAAAGCCTGTCTATGCAAAACGCAGCTTTCTGCAAGGGCATAAGTCTATACTGAGTCAAAATGAGTGACCATGGCCTGAGAACAGGGTTTGCCACAGATAATATGTTCCACTGTGGAAGTGGTTGCATGAACTTGTATAGACCAAGAACAAAAGAAATTCAAGGATCAGGGCAAACAGTGACAGGGACATCAGGTAGCAGGCTACAGCAAATCAGGCAAGCTGTATTATAGGCGTCAGATGCTATCTGATGACTCCCCCCACCTTGGGCAGGCTCTTCTTCTGTAGCCCAGGCTGGCATGGAACTCACTAAATAGCTCAGGCTGGCCTCAATTTTCCTATATCAACCTTCCAGGTCTAAGATTACTAGTGTGAACCATCATAAGGCTCTGATAACATTCTTGGCTTTGGGGTTGGTGGAAGCTAGTTTTCTACCAAGAACATATTCCAAAAGTTTTGCCTGATAACAGACTACTAGGTCAGATATAGAAGTGGGTGGTTAGTGGCTATTTGGGGAAGTAAAGCTAGCCCAAGCTAATGTTGGCTCTCAATCTGCAACATTCCAACTCTCCCACAGTCCTGGAAGTTCTCATCAGCCAGTCAGCTGCAGACTCTTCAATACAGGTATGGCTTTTCCAGGCAACTTCCTTTCACAAGCGTGAGGTTGGATTCATGGTGGCCCACTCTTCAGCCTTCAGCTTCTCTCCTTCCATGGGCAGCCATGCTTCCTCCCCGAGTCTCTTGTGACCTAAGGTGAAGCCAAAAGAAGATGAGCATCCCTCAAATCATTGTGCATAATACAACACAAGTCATTGGTCTCTAGTGTCAGGACTCAAAGGAATATAGAGCAGACTAGGTGGGACTGCATCCGCCTACCAAGATGATAAAAGAAGTAAAGGGATTTGGGTGTTTATCAGAACTGTGAGGGCAACACTGGTCCTTTCTGGGAGCCCACACTCATGATCGTGTGCTATGGGCACACATTTTTAAAATGAAAATCTCAGCTTCAAGTCCATTGCCTCCTTTGGCATTTGAGAGTTCTGGATTGTTTTAAGGTTGAGTAGAATTTCTAAGCCTGTTACTGGTCACAGTTGGCTAACTCTCATAATTAGCACAGGACCACTGAGTTGTGTAAATGCCTCTTGGTGCACAGCAATGACTAACCACTCCATTTCAGACTGTTTACTTAAGAGGGGGGCTTTCATCCACAATCAATGTTTCTGGGCATTGAATCTATTTAATACTGAGAGACAAAAGAAAGAATGCCAACAAGGGCCTGCTCACCCATTTCTCCTCCCCTTCTCCACTACCTCCATCCCAGCCACCAAGTCCTGATGCTGGGAGTGACTCGGCCTCAAGTCTCATCTATCCATTAAGCTGTACGACCTTGATAAAGTCATTTCTGTAATCTCAGTTTGCTCTGTGGAAATGAATTGGTGACAAAGGCGCTTTCTACCTCAGGGTCAATATTGGAGGACATGAAATGTGTCCTTCCTTATGAAATTCAAACCCCAAACCCCAAAATGAGACAGATGCCAGACTATGGCAAGTGCTCTGATTTCAAGCAGCTGTTCACTTACTACCCACTTTTTATCATAATGGACAGTTGTAAGAAGGTGAGGGCAAGATCCAGTCAAATGTATTTACAGGGCCAGGGAGATGGCTCATCAGGAGGCATTTGCCTCCAAGTCTGACAAACTGAGTTTGATACCTGGAACCCACAATGTGGAAGAACAGACACTCTCAGGTTGTCCTCTGACCTCCACATGAGTACAGTGGTGGTATGTATATACATACAAAATAAACAAATGTAATATATTATATATATATAATTCAGAAAATGAGTACAATTATAAAAGAAAATGAGAATAATTATAAAATAATTATAAATATAAATATAAGTAAATTATAATTATAAAATAATTATAAAATAATTATAAAAGAAAATGAGAATAATTATAAAAGAAATTTTAAAATATTTTATTATTTTTATGTGTATGAGTGTATTGCCTGGATATATGTAAGTGCACCCATGTTGTGCAATGCCTGCAGAGGTCAGAAGAGGGCATTGGATCCCCCAGAACGGGAATTACAGAGGGTTCTTAGCTGCCATGTGGGTGCTGGGAATTGAACCAGGGTCCTCTGCAAGAGCAGCCAGTACTCAACCACTGAAACATTTCTCCAGCTTCTATAATTTTATTTTATTTTTTTAGGAAGACTATTAGGCACATACTTGGAGACAAAATAAGCCACCTGGTGTGGATGAATTGGTTGCTAAACTGCTGTGTAAATGCCAAGAAGGGATACCTGCTTACTTCTCAGGAATGTAGAAATTTGGAAGATGGGAAGAGCTTAGTAGTGATGCTGAGGGCTGCCTGAGATGGAATGCTTGGTGACTGGGAGGGAGGGGAGGCAACACGACAATGACGATGACGCCGGCGATGGGGACCTTAAGGAACCTCCTATCAATTAGGTGTGGTGGTGCACACCTGTAACCCCAGCACTCAGGAAGCTGAGGCAGGAGGATTTTACAGCTTAAAGCTGACCTAGGCTATATGATGAGAGCTTCCATCTTAAAACACAACAAAAATATATTACACATTGATTAAATACTGATGGGCGTTTGAACTTGTTGGGGGAATACGGGAGAGTGGCTGGGTCTCACCTGGTCTGCCTCCAGGAAATTAGGGCTCATCTACTTAGGTGCCTGTTGAGGGATCAGTTCCCAACTCATAACCCTGTTGATCTCCATTTCTTGTTTTTATTTGGGCTGTCTGTGGCTGGATAGATAGTGTGCTATTTTTCCCTTGAAACGTCTTATTTTTCTATTTTTCTACATCCTAGCCATTTCCCCAAAACCGTATTCATTTTGGCCGAATGTCACCTCCTCTGCCCCTTTCACAGTGAGGGCTGGCTAGAGGTGCTTATTTCTGGGGTTCTGTTTAGGCTTTCAGGAGCCACTGCCCCTAAGGCAACAAGTGTCCTGTGTCCTTCCTCCCCCCCCCCCCCCCCCACTCCCAGTTTAGAAGCCCGGAAGGTCAGGACTCCTGTGTCCCTCAACACCCCATCTGTGCTGCGAACACAGCAAACTCTTAACATTTGTCCAGCTGATAAACTATTAGATCAGGAGAGACAAATACTCCCTCTAAGACAATGCTGATTTGAAAACACACCCCAAGAACTGTTTCCCTATCCTATCCCATGATTCTGTGGAGGGATTGGAAATAGCATGTATCAGAGGCCATACTGCGTTCTGCTCTTGCCTTCCAATCTCACTTTTTCAGGGCATCTATTGTTGGTTGTATTCTTAGGAATCCCAGTGACTGGCTGGAAAATAGCTCCCAAGTTCCTTGCACCCTAACTTCACCTGGATACTCAGATGAGATCATTAAAAACCTACTTACCCCACCTCCCAACACACACACACACACACACACACACACACACACACACACACACACACACACACTTTGCCATGTGAATAAGGTCTTCGCAAGGACCTCAGTGAGAAACACTGCCTGTAGCCATGGCCCGAAGGAGGGCAGAACTGGGCGCCTTCCTCAAAGCCATCCCTGGGCCCGGGTATGCGGAAGCTTTGCGCCCACCTCGGAGGGTGGCCTTGGGCATATCTGGGCGCCTTTCCCTCTGCACCCCACCGCGGCTCTGGCTCGGGAGCCGCGAGCCCGCGAGCCCAGCGGCGCGGCCCTGGCATGCTAAGTGGCAGCACTGGGGTGTCTTTGTTTCTGAGGCCGGCTGTCTTCAGCATCCAAATGGGTCGCTCGCTCTGTCGCTAGGGCACAGCGCCCCTCAGCGATGCGTCCCGGACACCCGGGGCCCGCAGCGAGCGCGGAGATGGGGTGCGCGGAACCCCCAGCCGGGACAGCACAGGCACCTGCATGGGCCCGAGGGGGTCCCCGGCCCGCAGCCCCAAGTCTCGCGGTGCTACGGCTCGGACCCGGGAGCAGCGGGCCGGGCGCTCCCCACCGCGCCACAAAGGCTGAACCGGGAGGGGGAGGCCGGGGGAGGGAGGAGCCGGGCGCGCGCGGAGGAGCGGGGAGCGCGCGGGGCGCGGGGAGCAGCGCGGGCAGGAGCGCCAGGCGCTCGGAGAGCGCGGGAGCGCGGGGAGCACCGCCCGCACCGTCCTTTGTGTGGCGCGGCCGCGGCTGCGCTGGCCCGCGTCGGGTCCCCGTCCCCGCCTCCGCTCGGCGCGCCGGTCCCTCCCGGCAAGATGGCAACCCCAGCTGCCGTCAACCCTCCCGGTGAGTAGCGGCCCCGTCGCAGGCCCAACCCAGCCGGCCGCATCGGACGCCCGCGGGGCGCGGAGCCAGGCAGCCTGGGAATGGGGAGCGGCCGCCACCCGGCGGGGGCAGCATCAGCATCCGCGCACGCCGCGGCATCCTCCTTCCCAAACCGTGCCCAACCTCGTCCCACCGGCCCGGTCACTGCTGCCCGTGATGCTAAGCTGGCCGGCTGGCTCCAGAACCAGAGGGGCTGACGGGTGCAAGGTGTCACGCCGACCGAGGGAAAAGTTTGGAGCTGGGATTCAACAGGGCAGAACTCCCGGGATTCACCCCTGCCGGCCCCGCCTCCCCTGCGCTGGTCCTCCTCGCAGGTTACACCTGGCCACTGTGTTTCCCAGTCCTTCTTGGACACGAAAAGCCCACATGGTAATAAGGTAGCGGGGAGCAGGCTGTCTGTGGGGCTGGCGGCCCCCAGAGTGCTGCCTGTGACCATGGTGCTCATGCAGGCAGTTTCGAAAAATGGAAGGAGTTCATGAGCGAGTGGGAGTGTTGGCTTGTTGTGGACCTGTAGCAGGAGAACCCCATTGTCGCTGATAAAGTTCTGTGGTGCGCTGCAAAGGTGTGAGTATGGGGCATGGGACTGCTGCCAAGTTTTAGGTCTTCTACTGACTGCCGTGGGCCTGGAGGGTGCTAGGGAGGTCGCTGTGGATTGAGGCAGGGACAGTCACAGAGCCCAGCCCTCAGGAAAGTCCCAGTGGAGGAATCATGTGTTGGGGTGTAGACCCATTGGTTGTTCATTAGGATGAACAACCACAGTGCTTAGAAGAATATTATCAGAGTTAGGAATGAAAGATCCCCTCATCCAAGTTGGTCAGGGAAGGCTTGGAGCATTGGACATTTTCGCTGGATGAGTGTGCAGATGGAGGCTGAGAAGCATTGCAGGCAAAAGTCATGTATTCATGATGGGCATGCTCTAAGCTGGGCTGGAGGCCAGTGAGTGAGGTGTCAGAGAACAGAGAGCATTGAATTGCACTCATGTGGCTAGGTTTAAAGGGCCTTGAACCTTAAGGACTATGGAATTTCTCTTTCCATATAAGAGAGGGTCTTTAGTGGCACTGAACAGAGAAACCACTTATCGTTGGTTTCCTGAAAGGTTAATTTGTCATGCATGTCCAGGTAACATAGAAGATAGCAAGACTAGAGAGCGGGAGGCTTCACTGAAAGCAGGCAGGTGTTGGCGAGGTCAGACTTCACAGCAGTGGTTTGAATAAAGGGGAAAGAAAGTGCCAGTAGGCAGGTAGAGTTCAGATCTGGCCCTGGTTAGACTTGGGGTAAGAGCAGATGAAACTGAGGAGACACAGAGGCAGGTGCCATGGGGCCATGGAAGTGAAGAGGCTGGTAATTCCAAAGAAGGTTCATTAACAGAATCAGAGTCCTAGAAGAGCAGGTGTGGAGTCCCTGTCTGGAACACTGAGTAGGAAGATGACTGGCTTGAAAACAAGGCTGTGCCAGTTTATTTACAGCTGAAGTAATTCAACCTTTTCAGCTACTTAGAAATCAACAGAAAAATAGTAACTTTAACTGTAATGAGATTAGAAAAAGCAAAGGAAATTAAATGAAGGTAATAGTTCAGAATAGGCTTATATTGGGAAAAAGAATAAACTCTGGTGATTTACATAATCCATCTACCATTACATCACTGTTGAAAACGATTTTGTTTGTCACCTTGATCTGTGTGCTATGTGAAATAGATATGGGTTAGTCAGCCAGTGTGCTACCGGGAGGGCCATGAGACTTGGTTGGAAGATGCGTTGTCAGTCACCACCTGGTCAGCTTGACAGACAGCCAAGTCCAAGTCTTTTCTCAGTCGACAGACAGAGATACCAGAGACTTTGAGTTTAGCGAGAATTTCTCAAGCGATTGCCTATTCATTTCTTTAACTGGTGACCTGTGATGGCATGCAGGTCTGTGGGGATGTCTTGGTTTGGCCTCTTGTGAGCCATCAGCTTCTTTGAGGATGAGGATTTAGACTCAAGGTATATGGCTAAGCACTTGAACCAATGAGAGAGATTTCAGGTTGTATGGGAGATTTACAACAAAAAGAAGTGTGGCACCTGGCTGGGCTACCCACTCTCATGAGCAGAAGTCACGCAGCATTTCTTTGGACTCCTACCTCCACCTCACCCTAGATGTTGCTTTGCACAGAATGAGCTCTTGGTAAACACAGCTAGATGGACTGAGAAGCACAGAATTTATTTCTGTTGCTGATCTGCACTCAGGGTACCATGGCCACCTCTCATACTCACCTGTTTGCTCCTTTATTCCCCAGCTGTCCACTGCACTCCAGCAGCACTTTTGCAAAGATACTATGCTGTGATACAGTGGTAGCATTCTGGGGCTTCAGTTATGGTGGATGAAGATGTGTCTTCTCACCTCATGTTATTCAATTGATATGATCCGGCTTCAGACTCTGATCCTCCTAGGTCTCCTGTTTCAGATTTAGGTTAGAATTCTAGCAGTTACCCTAAGGGTTGAGAGGTCTGGAGGAGGGAGGAAGGAACTGGCGGTATTTCTATTGCCCTTGACACCTTGCTACTTGTAGGTCAATTCCACTCCTTACTGATCCTGTACTGTTGTATTGGCTGAATTTTCTCTGTTGTTTTTGAGCAGGGATGATGCACTCATCCCCTGGAATAGAGAAGAGAGTTCTAGAGAGAGTTTTAGAGAGAAAGAGAGAGTTCTAGATTGAGAAAGACCATCTTTTTGAATGATATTTAAGCATTTCTAATTTTTATAGAAAATTTCAGGCATGCATTAGCCACAAGCATTAGAGGGTGTCTGCTACTGACATGGCGCAGTTTAAAAGAGGCTTTTACCCAGAGCTGTGGTTCCATCTTAATCTTTTGTAATTTCAGCACAAAGAAGTTAGGTTCACACTCATTCAGAGCAGTCATTAGAGTAATACATTACTCAGACATTCTCTGAAATGAGTTTTGAAGAGTAATTAATAAGACTTGTGATGGTTAATCTTGATTCTTAACCTGACAGGGTTAGAATCACTTGAAAGGAGATCCACCTCCCAGCATATCTGTGAGGATATATCTAGAGAGGTGTAACTGAGGAGGGAAAACCTACTCTGAATGTGGGCAATGCCATCCTGTGCACCAGGGTCCCAAGCTTAATAAAAAGGAGGAAGGGAGCTGAGGACCAGCATTTATCTTGCTCTGCTTCCTAACTGAAGATCAGTGTGATCAGCTGCCACATGCTTGTGCCCCAGTATTTCCCCCATCATAATGGGCTGTATCCACCTAACCTATGAGGCAAAATAAAACTTTTAACAGTGCTTTGGTCAGGTATTCTGTCACAGCAACTAGAAGAGTAGTTAATATAGCTTGCATATTTTAAAGGAATGGAAAGGTATGTTTTAAGAGATTTGGAAGTCCACTTTTTTCTGGAATCAAGTATTACAACCTCCCCTCTTTGGCATTTTAATTTGGAATTGATTATAGAGAACAGGAAGATTGTCTGAGCATGTTACTCTAAATGGAAGGGCATTTGGAATGATTCCATAATCTTGAATATCTTTGGTGTGTCAAGCACTCTGGAAGATGCAGAGTAATGAGGAAGAATGTCTCTTTAGGGAGTTTGGAGACTCATAGAGATGTATAAGTTGACTAACCTTATTTTTAAAAAGGCAGAATAAGGATTATAGAGCTGGGCCAATGGGTGAGAGTGTGCTTGCTGTGCAAGCATGAAGACCCGAGTTGAAATCTCCAGTAACCGTGTAAAAAGACAGGCATGGTCATGCATGCCTGTAACCCCAATGCTGTTGTGGGGTGGGGAGGCAAGAGAATTGCTGGAGTTTGCTGAATGCTAACCCAGCTTCAAATTTAGTGAGAGACTCTGTCTCATGGGAATAAGGTGGAGGGTGATAGTACAGGACACCCAATGTCCTCCTCTGACCTCTGTGCACATGTATGGGGGTACACACCACACACATACAAGACACATACATACTCACACACACATAACACACACACAACAAAAAAATTAAAATTGTAAAAACCAGTGGAATAAAATGAATGTTGACTAGGTGTATACATGTCATAATGGGGACCCACAGGTAGTCTAATAGGGGGATGGCTTCCGAAACTGGGCTTTTTGAAGAGGGACACGTTGACCTATGGAGAGTTAAATTTTAAAATTTTATTTATTTTTATTTTATTTGTATGAGTGTTTTACCTGCAAGTATGTAAGTGTACCTGTAAGTGCAGTATCCTTGAAGGCCAGAGAAGGCATCAGATCCCCTGGAACTGGAGTCACAATGGTTGCTAGCCACCATGTGGGTACTGGAAACCAAACCCTGGTCCTCTGCAAGAGCAGCTAGTGTTGTTAGCCACTGAGCCATCTGTCCAGCCCCAACAGAGAATTTTAGAAGGACCCTTTTGAGCTGGTGTTGGGGATGGCGGGGTGGACAGACTTGTGGATGTGTGGGGATCATTAAGTGGTGGTCTCTTTAGTGCTTTTGGGGATCACCAGGGCACATGAGAAGGTGAGGTGGACTTAAAGCTTTTGAGAGATGCACACTGTGCTTGTAAGCTGTCCGCCTCAAGTAGCATTGGAACAATGAAATAACTATGATAATAAATGTGTCAATGCTGTGAAGGAATGATACCCTGAGAGAAAATAAGCAACGGGCCTGATTAGATTAGAGGGTTGGTCAAAGCCCATGAAGGCAGTTGAAAATCTGTGTAAAGAGCTGACTTTTACAAAAAATTTTGTTTATTACAAATTCTAGACAGGGAACCAGAAAAAAGTCAGAACAGGGCAAATTTCAAATGTTTATATCAGAGTCCATTGGGATTTCTTGACAAGAGTTTCCAAAAGCATCCCTCTATTGGGTTCTTCCTCATTTTTCTTTTGTCTGCCAAGGCTGGATTCGAGAGTGATGGACTCAGGGTTTATTTTCAAGCACTTTGATAGCTATTGGAGTGGTTAGAATCAATGTTGGTTCCCTC